GGGCGACAGAGTGAGACTCCAACTCAAAAAAAATAAATAAATAAAATAAAATAAAATAATGTCCAAATAAGTCTAAAAAAGTACTTTTATGTAAGTATACAAATTCTAAATTAAAAGGAAAAGCAGGCACAACCACGTTTTTATCCAAGTGATACATAAATGGCATTTCTTCTTAATAGTGTCTTAGACTTGATGAAATATAGCAATAGGATAATACGATCTCATTTTGGTGAAATTATATGTATATAGGTATGTGGATGTGTGTATGCACGTGCATGCACACACACAAAGACATGCTATCTTTTTTTTTTTTTTGAGTGGGAGTCATTCTGTTGCCCAGACTGGAGTGCAGTGGCCGCTCCCGCTACCTGCTGGGCTCCGGTGATCCATCCGCCTCAGCCTTCTAAGTAGCTGGAACTACAGGTGTGTGCTACCACGCCCGGCTAATTTTTGATTTATTATAGAGATGAGGTCTCGCCAAGTTGCCCAGGCAGGCCACGAACCCGCGGGCTCAGGCAATCCACTCACCTCAGCCTCCCAAAAGCGCGGGATTACAGGCTGAGCCACCGAGCCCAGCTAAGACATGCTATCTTAATGGTTATTTCTGGGTACTAGAACTTAAAATGATTATTACTTGCTACTTTACACCCTTCTGTATTGTTTGACCTTTTATAACAAAACTATACTACTTTTATAATCAGAAGAAAGACTTTTCATTCGGGGGAAAACATATTTCAGAGTAATTAATTTGTTCATCTTATGAGTACCCCAAGAAAATTTATCCTAAGCAATGTTAAATGTGTTGATGATGGGTTCAGTGTTGAAGTAATCAACACCAAACTACATCTCACCTACTCCAACCACTTCCAATGACTAGCTGTCATGTCTGTATTTTCCTAGACAAAGCAACAATGAATTACTCACAGGAAAATAAACAGGATTTCAGAAAATTTCTGAAGTAAATAAAACTCAGAACCATAATGTTGTATTTTTAGGTTGCTCTGAAATCTTCTGAATTTAACTTGTTTAACAACTCTACATTTGATACCAAGTTCAAAAACCTCAAGTTAAAAACAAAATAATTGCTGGGCTCGGTGGCTCAGCCTGTAATCCCATGCCTTTGGGAGGCTGAGGTGAGTGGATTGCCCAAGCCCGCGGGTTCGAGACCCGCCTGGGCAACTTGGCGAGACTCATCTCTACAATAAATCAAAATTAGCCGGGCGTGGTAGCGCGCGCCTGTAGTTCCAGCTACTCGGAAAGCTGAGGCGGAAGGATCGCCGGAGCCGG